TAATTATGTAGAATCGAAGTTAATTCTGAAGGCATATGCCTTATTTTCATAACATCTAAGTTAATTGTGAAGGCATATGCGTTTAATGCCATAGAATCTGAGTTAATTCTGAAGGCATATGCCTGAATTATATAGTATCTAAGTTAATTCTGAAGTTATATGCCTTAATTCCATGGATTTAAACATTATTCTGAAGGCATATGCTTTAATTATGCAGGGTCTCAGTTAATTCTGATGGCATTACCCTTAATTCCATGGGATCTCAGTTAATTCTCAAGGCATATGCCTTAATTACGTAAGTTGTAAGTTAATTCTGAAGGCATTTCCCTAAATTTAATAGGATCTCAGTTAATTCTGAAGGCATAGGCCTTAATTATGTAGAAACCAAGTTAATTCTGAAGGCATAAGCCTTAATTCCATAGCATCTAAGTTAATTGTGAAGGCATATGCCTTAATTAGGTAGGGTCTGAGGTAATTTGCAGGAATATGCCTTAATAACATAGGGTCTGAGTTAATTCTGAAGGCATATGCCTTAATTCCATAGCTCTAAGTTAATTCTGATGGCATATGCCTTAATTCCATGGATTTAAACTTTATACTGAAGGCATATGCCTTAATTATGTAGGGTCTAAGTTAATTCTGATGGCATATACCTTAATTCCATAGGATCTCAGTTAATTCTGAAGTTATATGCTTTCATTATGTAGAATTCTGAAGGCATATGCCTTAAATCCATAGCATCTAAGTTAATTGTGAAGGCATATGGCTTAATCCGTAGGATGTAATTTAAATCTGAAGGTATATGCCTTAGTTCCATAGCATCTAATTTAATTCTGATGCTGTATGACATTAATTGCATAAATCGAAGTTTAATTCTGATGGCATATGCCTTTAGTTGCATAGAATCTTAGTTAGTTCTGAATGCATAAGCCTTAATTATGTAGGGTCTAAGTTACTTCTGAAGGAATATGCCTTAATTACATCGGGTCTGAGTTAATTCTGTAGACATATGCCTTAAGTATTTAGTGTCTAACTTAATTCTCAAGGCATATTCCTTAATTCCATAGGATCTATGTTAATTCTGAAGGCGTATGCCTTAATTCCATGGAACTAAACTTTATTCTGAAGGTATAGGCCTTAATTATGTGGGGTTAAGTTAATTCTGAAGGCATATTCCTTAATTTCATGGAATCTAAGTTAATTCTGTAGGCATATGCCATAATTATGTGGGATATAAGTTAATTCTGAAGTTATATGCCTTAATTTTGTGGGATTAAACTGTATTCTGAAGGTATAGGCCTTTATTATATAGGATGTAAGTTAATTCTGATGGCATATGCCTTAATTCCATAGGTCTACGTTTATTCTGAAGGCATATGCCTTAATTCCATGGCATCTAAGTGAACTCTGAAGGCTAATGCCTTAAGTCCATAGAATCTAAGTTAATTCTGAAGGTATATGCCTTAATTATGTAAGGTTTAAGTTAATTCTGAAGGTATATGCCTTAATTATGTAGGATCTAAGTTAATTCTGAAGTCATATGCCTCATTTTCATAGCATCTAAGTTAATTCTGAAGTCATATGCCTTCTTTTCATAGCATCTAAGTTAAATGTGAAGGCATATGGCTTAATCCATAGGATGTTATTTAAATCTGAAGGCGTTTAATTCCATAGGATCGGAGTTAATTCTGATGGCGTATGCCTTAATTATATAGGTTCTATGGTTATTCTGAAGGTATAAACCACTAATTGCATAGGATCTAAGTTAATTCTGAAGGTATAGGCCTTTAATTCCATAGGCTCTGATTTAATTCTGAAGTTATATGACTTTAATTCCATATTATCTAAGTTAATTCTGAATCTATATGGCTTTAATTACATAGGATCTCAGTTAATTCTGAAGGCTTCTGCCTTAGTTCCATAGCATCTAAGTTAATTGTGAAGGCATATGCCTTAATTATGTAGAATCCAAGTTAATTCTGAAGGCATATGCCTTAATTATATAGGACTTAATTTAATTCTGAAGGCATATTCCTTAATTCCATTGGATCTAACTTAATTCTGAAGGCATATGCTTTAATTATGCAGGGTCTAAGTTAATTCTGATGGCATATCCCTTAATTCCATGGGATCTAAGTTAATTCTCAAGGCATATGCCTTAATTACGTAAGTTGTACGTTAAGTCTGAAGGCATTTGCATTACTTCCGTAGGATCTGAGTTAATTCTGAAGACATATGCGTTAATTACTTCGAATCCAACTTAATTCTGAAGGCATATGCCTTAATTATGTAGGGTTTAAGTTAGTTCTGATGGCATATGCCTTTAAATCCTTAGGATCTCAGTTAATTCTGCAGGCATATGCCTCAATTCCAATGCATCTAAGTTCATTCTGAAGGTATCCGCCTTAATTATATAGGTTCTATGTTAATTCTGAAGAATGTGCCTTAATTCCATAGCATCTAAGTTAATTGTCAAAGGTTGGGTCTAAGTTAATTCTGATGGCATATGCCTTAATTCCATAGCATCTCAGTTAATTCTGAAGGTGTATGCCTTAATTATGTAGAATCGAAGTTAATTCTGAAGGCATATGCCTTATTTTCATAACATCTAAGTTAATTGTGAAGGCATATGCGTTTAATGCCATAGAATCTGAGTTAATTCTGAAGGCATATGCCTGAATTATATAGTATCTAAGTTAATTCTGAAGTTATATGCCTTAATTCCATGGATTTAAACATTATTCTGAAGGCATATGCCTTAATTATGTAGGGTCTCAGTTAATTCTGATGGCATTACCCTTAATTCCATGGGATCTCAGTTAATTCTCAAGGCATATGCCTTAATTACGTAAGTTGTAAGTTAATTCTGAAGGCATTTCCCTAAATTTAATAGGATCTCAGTTAATTCTGAAGGCATAGGCCTTAATTATGTAGAAACCAAGTTAATTCTGAAGGCATAAGCCTTAATTCCATAGCATCTAAGTTAATTGTGAAGGCATATGGCTTAATCCGTAGGATGTAATTTAAATCTGAAGGTATATGCCTTAGTTCCATAGCATCTAATTTAATTCTGATGCTGTATGACATTAATTGCATAAATCGAAGTTTAATTCTGATGGCATATGCCTTTAGTTGCATAGAATCTTAGTTAGTTCTGAATGCATAAGCCTTAATTATGTAGGGTCTAAGTTACTTCTGAAGGAATATGCCTTAATTACATCGGGTCTGAGTTAATTCTGTAGACATATGCCTTAAGTATTTAGTGTCTAACTTAATTCTCAAGGCATATTCCTTAATTCCATAGGATCTATGTTAATTCTGAAGGCGTATGCCTTAATTCCATGGAACTAAACTTTATTCTGAAGGTATAGGCCTTAATTATGTGGGGTTAAGTTAATTCTGAAGGCATATTCCTTAATTTCATGGAATCTAAGTTAATTCTGTAGGCATATGCCATAATTATGTGGGATATAAGTTAATTCTGAAGTTATATGCCTTAATTTTGTGGGATTAAACTGTATTCTGAAGGTATAGGCCTTTATTATATAGGATGTAAGTTAATTCTGATGGCATATGCCTTAATTCCATAGGTCTACGTTTATTCTGAAGGCATATGCCTTAATTCCATGGCATCTAAGTGAACTCTGAAGGCTAATGCCTTAAGTCCATAGAATCTAAGTTAATTCTGAAGTCATAAGCCTCAATTATGCACGATCTAAGTTAATTCTGAAGGCATATGCCTTAATTATGTAGGATCTAAGTTAATTCTGAAGTCATATGCCTCATTTTCATAGCATCTAAGTTAATTCTGAAGTCATATGCCTTCTTTTCATAGCATCTAAGTTAAATGTGAAGGCATATGGCTTAATCCATAGGATGTTATTTAAATCTGAAGGCGTTTAATTCCATAGGATCGGAGTTAATTCTGATGGCGTATGCCTTAATTATATAGGTTCTATGGTTATTCTGAAGGTATAAACCACTAATTGCATAGGATCTAAGTTAATTCTGAAGGTATAGGCCTTTAATTCCATAGGCTCTGATTTAATTCTGAAGTTATATGACTTTAATTCCATATTATCTAAGTTAATTCTGAATCTATATGGCTTTAATTACATAGGATCTCAGTTAATTCTGAAGGCTTCTGCCTTAGTTCCATAGCATCTAAGTTAATTGTGAAGGCATATGCCTTAATTATGTAGAATCCAAGTTAATTCTGAAGGCATATGCCTTAATTATATAGGACTTAATTTAATTCTGAAGGCATATTCCTTAATTCCATTGGATCTAACTTAATTCTGAAGGCATATGCTTTAATTATGCAGGGTCTAAGTTAATTCTGATGGCATATCCCTTAATTCCATGGGATCTAAGTTAATTCTCAAGGCATATGCCTTAATTACGTAAGTTGTACGTTAAGTCTGAAGGCATTTGCATTACTTCCGTAGGATCTGAGTTAATTCTGAAGACATATGCGTTAATTACTTCGAATCCAACTTAATTCTGAAGGCATATGCCTTAATTATGTAGGGTTTAAGTTAGTTCTGATGGCATATGCCTTTAAATCCTTAGGATCTCAGTTAATTCTGCAGGCATATGCCTCAATTCCAATGCATCTAAGTTCATTCTGAAGGTATCCGCCTTAATTATATAGGTTCTATGTTAATTCTGAAGAATGTGCCTTAATTCCATAGCATCTAAGTTAATTGTCAAAGGTTGGGTCTAAGTTAATTCTGATGGCATATGCCTTAATTCCATAGCATCTCAGTTAATTCTGAAGGTGTATGCCTTAATTATGTAGAATCGAAGTTAATTCTGAAGGCATATGCCTTATTTTCATAACATCTAAGTTAATTGTGAAGGCATATGCGTTTAATGCCATAGAATCTGAGTTAATTCTGAAGGCATATGCCTGAATTATATAGTATCTAAGTTAATTCTGAAGTTATATGCCTTAATTCCATGGATTTAAACATTATTCTGAAGGCATATGCCTTAATTATGTAGGGTCTCAGTTAATTCTGATGGCATTACCCTTAATTCCATGGGATCTCAGTTAATTCTCAAGGCATATGCCTTAATTACGTAAGTTGTAAGTTAATTCTGAAGGCATTTCCCTAAATTTAATAGGATCTCAGTTAATTCTGAAGGCATAGGCCTTAATTATGTAGAAACCAAGTTAATTCTGAAGGCATAAGCCTTAATTCCATAGCATCTAAGTTAATTGTGAAGGCATATGCCTTAATTAGGTAGGGTCTGAGGTAATTTGCAGGAATATGCCTTAATAACATAGGGTCTGAGTTAATTCTGAAGGCATATGCCTTAATTCCATAGCTCTAAGTTAATTCTGATGGCATATGCCTTAATTCCATGGATTTAAACTTTATACTGAAGGCATATGCCTTAATTATGTAGGGTCTAAGTTAATTCTGATGGCATATACCTTAATTCCATAGGATCTCAGTTAATTCTGAAGTTATATGCTTTCATTATGTAGAATTCTGAAGGCATATGCCTTAAATCCATAGCATCTAAGTTAATTGTGAAGGCATATGGCTTAATCCGTAGGATGTAATTTAAATCTGAAGGTATATGCCTTAGTTCCATAGCATCTAATTTAATTCTGATGCTGTATGACATTAATTGCATAAATCGAAGTTTAATTCTGATGGCATATGCCTTTAGTTGCATAGAATCTTAGTTAGTTCTGAATGCATAAGCCTTAATTATGTAGGGTCTAAGTTACTTCTGAAGGAATATGCCTTAATTACATCGGGTCTGAGTTAATTCTGTAGACATATGCCTTAAGTATTTAGTGTCTAACTTAATTCTCAAGGCATATTCCTTAATTCCATAGGATCTATGTTAATTCTGAAGGCGTATGCCTTAATTCCATGGAACTAAACTTTATTCTGAAGGTATAGGCCTTAATTATGTGGGGTTAAGTTAATTCTGAAGGCATATTCCTTAATTTCATGGAATCTAAGTTAATTCTGTAGGCATATGCCATAATTATGTGGGATATAAGTTAATTCTGAAGTTATATGCCTTAATTTTGTGGGATTAAACTGTATTCTGAAGGTATAGGCCTTTATTATATAGGATGTAAGTTAATTCTGATGGCATATGCCTTAATTCCATAGGTCTACGTTTATTCTGAAGGCATATGCCTTAATTCCATGGCATCTAAGTGAACTCTGAAGGCTAATGCCTTAAGTCCATAGAATCTAAGTTAATTCTGAAGGTATATGCCTTAATTATGTAAGGTTTAAGTTAATTCTGAAGGTATATGCCTTAATTATGTAGGATCTAAGTTAATTCTGAAGTCATATGCCTCATTTTCATAGCATCTAAGTTAATTCTGAAGTCATATGCCTTCTTTTCATAGCATCTAAGTTAAATGTGAAGGCATATGGCTTAATCCATAGGATGTTATTTAAATCTGAAGGCGTTTAATTCCATAGGATCGGAGTTAATTCTGATGGCGTATGCCTTAATTATATAGGTTCTATGGTTATTCTGAAGGTATAAACCACTAATTGCATAGGATCTAAGTTAATTCTGAAGGTATAGGCCTTTAATTCCATAGGCTCTGATTTAATTCTGAAGTTATATGACTTTAATTCCATATTATCTAAGTTAATTCTGAATCTATATGGCTTTAATTACATAGGATCTCAGTTAATTCTGAAGGCTTCTGCCTTAGTTCCATAGCATCTAAGTTAATTGTGAAGGCATATGCCTTAATTATGTAGAATCCAAGTTAATTCTGAAGGCATATGCCTTAATTATATAGGACTTAATTTAATTCTGAAGGCATATTCCTTAATTCCATTGGATCTAACTTAATTCTGAAGGCATATGCTTTAATTATGCAGGGTCTAAGTTAATTCTGATGGCATATCCCTTAATTCCATGGGATCTAAGTTAATTCTCAAGGCATATGCCTTAATTACGTAAGTTGTACGTTAAGTCTGAAGGCATTTGCATTACTTCCGTAGGATCTGAGTTAATTCTGAAGACATATGCGTTAATTACTTCGAATCCAACTTAATTCTGAAGGCATATGCCTTAATTATGTAGGGTTTAAGTTAGTTCTGATGGCATATGCCTTTAAATCCTTAGGATCTCAGTTAATTCTGCAGGCATATGCCTCAATTCCAATGCATCTAAGTTCATTCTGAAGGTATCCGCCTTAATTATATAGGTTCTATGTTAATTCTGAAGAATGTGCCTTAATTCCATAGCATCTAAGTTAATTGTCAAAGGTTGGGTCTAAGTTAATTCTGATGGCATATGCCTTAATTCCATAGCATCTCAGTTAATTCTGAAGGTGTATGCCTTAATTATGTAGAATCGAAGTTAATTCTGAAGGCATATGCCTTATTTTCATAACATCTAAGTTAATTGTGAAGGCATATGCGTTTAATGCCATAGAATCTGAGTTAATTCTGAAGGCATATGCCTGAATTATATAGTATCTAAGTTAATTCTGAAGTTATATGCCTTAATTCCATGGATTTAAACATTATTCTGAAGGCATATGCCTTAATTATGTAGGGTCTCAGTTAATTCTGATGGCATTACCCTTAATTCCATGGGATCTCAGTTAATTCTCAAGGCATATGCCTTAATTACGTAAGTTGTAAGTTAATTCTGAAGGCATTTCCCTAAATTTAATAGGATCTCAGTTAATTCTGAAGGCATAGGCCTTAATTATGTAGAAACCAAGTTAATTCTGAAGGCATAAGCCTTAATTCCATAGCATCTAAGTTAATTGTGAAGGCATATGCCTTAATTAGGTAGGGTCTGAGGTAATTTGCAGGAATATGCCTTAATAGCATAGGGTCTGAGTTAATTCTGAAGGCATATGCCTTAATTCCATAGCTCTAAGTTAATTCTGATGGCATATGCCTTAATTCCATGGATTTAAACTTTATTCTGAAGGCATATGCCTTAATTATGTAGGGTCTAAGTTAATTCTGATGGCATATACCTTAATTCCATAGGATCTCAGTTAATTCTGAAGTTATATGCTTTCATTATGTAGAATTCTGAAGGCATATGCCTTAAATCCATAGCATCTAAGTTAATTGTGAAGGCATATGGCTTAATCCGTAGGATGTAATTTAAATCTGAAGGTATATGCCTTAGTTCCATAGCATCTAATTTAATTCTGATGCTGTATGACATTAATTGCATAAATCGAAGTTTAATTCTGATGGCATATGCCTTTAGTTGCATAGAATCTTAGTTAGTTCTGAATGCATAAGCCTTAATTATGTAGGGTCTAAGTTACTTCTGAAGGAATATGCCTTAATTACATCGGGTCTGAGTTAATTCTGTAGACATATGCCTTAAGTATTTAGTGTCTAACTTAATTCTCAAGGCATATTCCTTAATTCCATAGGATCTATGTTAATTCTGAAGGCGTATGCCTTAATTCCATGGAACTAAACTTTATTCTGAAGGTATAGGCCTTAATTATGTGGGGTTAAGTTAATTCTGAAGGCATATTCCTTAATTTCATGGAATCTAAGTTAATTCTGTAGGCATATGCCATAATTATGTGGGATATAAGTTAATTCTGAAGTTATATGCCTTAATTTTGTGGGATTAAACTGTATTCTGAAGGTATAGGCCTTTATTATATAGGATGTAAGTTAATTCTGATGGCATATGCCTTAATTCCATAGGTCTACGTTTATTCTGAAGGCATATGCCTTAATTCCATGGCATCTAAGTGAACTCTGAAGGCTAATGCCTTAAGTCCATAGAATCTAAGTTAATTCTGAAGGTATATGCCTTAATTATGTAAGGTTTAAGTTAATTCTGAAGGTATATGCCTTAATTATGTAGGATCTAAGTTAATTCTGAAGTCATATGCCTCATTTTCATAGCATCTAAGTTAATTCTGAAGTCATATGCCTTCTTTTCATAGCATCTAAGTTAAATGTGAAGGCATATGGCTTAATCCATAGGATGTTATTTAAATCTGAAGGCGTTTAATTCCATAGGATCGGAGTTAATTCTGATGGCGTATGCCTTAATTATATAGGTTCTATGGTTATTCTGAAGGTATAAACCACTAATTGCATAGGATCTAAGTTAATTCTGAAGGTATAGGCCTTTAATTCCATAGGCTCTGATTTAATTCTGAAGTTATATGACTTTAATTCCATATTATCTAAGTTAATTCTGAATCTATATGGCTTTAATTACATAGGATCTCAGTTAATTCTGAAGGCTTCTGCCTTAGTTCCATAGCATCTAAGTTAATTGTGAAGGCATATGCCTTAATTATGTAGAATCCAAGTTAATTCTGAAGGCATATGCCTTAATTATATAGGACTTAATTTAATTCTGAAGGCATATTCCTTAATTCCATTGGATCTAACTTAATTCTGAAGGCATATGCTTTAATTATGCAGGGTCTAAGTTAATTCTGATGGCATATCCCTTAATTCCATGGGATCTAAGTTAATTCTCAAGGCATATGCCTTAATTACGTAAGTTGTACGTTAAGTCTGAAGGCATTTGCATTACTTCCGTAGGATCTGAGTTAATTCTGAAGACATATGCGTTAATTACTTCGAATCCAACTTAATTCTGAAGGCATATGCCTTAATTATGTAGGGTTTAAGTTAGTTCTGATGGCATATGCCTTTAAATCCTTAGGATCTCAGTTAATTCTGCAGGCATATGCCTCAATTCCAATGCATCTAAGTTCATTCTGAAGGTATCCGCCTTAATTATATAGGTTCTATGTTAATTCTGAAGAATGTGCCTTAATTCCATAGCATCTAAGTTAATTGTCAAAGGTTGGGTCTAAGTTAATTCTGATGGCATATGCCTTAATTCCATAGCATCTCAGTTAATTCTGAAGGTGTATGCCTTAATTATGTAGAATCGAAGTTAATTCTGAAGGCATATGCCTTATTTTCATAACATCTAAGTTAATTGTGAAGGCATATGCGTTTAATGCCATAGAATCTGAGTTAATTCTGAAGGCATATGCCTGAATTATATAGTATCTAAGTTAATTCTGAAGTTATATGCCTTAATTCCATGGATTTAAACATTATTCTGAAGGCATATGCCTTAATTATGTAGGGTCTCAGTTAATTCTGATGGCATTACCCTTAATTCCATGGGATCTCAGTTAATTCTCAAGGCATATGCCTTAATTACGTAAGTTGTAAGTTAATTCTGAAGGCATTTCCCTAAATTTAATAGGATCTCAGTTAATTCTGAAGGCATAGGCCTTAATTATGTAGAAACCAAGTTAATTCTGAAGGCATAAGCCTTAATTCCATAGCATCTAAGTTAATTGTGAAGGCATATGCCTTAATTAGGTAGGGTCTGAGGTAATTTGCAGGAATATGCCTTAATAACATAGGGTCTGAGTTAATTCTGAAGGCATATGCCTTAATTCCATAGCTCTAAGTTAATTCTGATGGCATATGCCTTAATTCCATGGATTTAAACTTTATACTGAAGGCATATGCCTTAATTATGTAGGGTCTAAGTTAATTCTGATGGCATATACCTTAATTCCATAGGATCTCAGTTAATTCTGAAGTTATATGCTTTCATTATGTAGAATTCTGAAGGCATATGCCTTAAATCCATAGCATCTAAGTTAATTGTGAAGGCATATGGCTTAATCCGTAGGATGTAATTTAAATCTGAAGGTATATGCCTTAGTTCCATAGCATCTAATTTAATTCTGATGCTGTATGACATTAATTGCATAAATCGAAGTTTAATTCTGATGGCATATGCCTTTAGTTGCATAGAATCTTAGTTAGTTCTGAATGCATAAGCCTTAATTATGTAGGGTCTAAGTTACTTCTGAAGGAATATGCCTTAATTACATCGGGTCTGAGTTAATTCTGTAGACATATGCCTTAAGTATTTAGTGTCTAACTTAATTCTCAAGGCATATTCCTTAATTCCATAGGATCTATGTTAATTCTGAAGGCGTATGCCTTAATTCCATGGAACTAAACTTTATTCTGAAGGTATAGGCCTTAATTATGTGGGGTTAAGTTAATTCTGAAGGCATATTCCTTAATTTCATGGAATCTAAGTTAATTCTGTAGGCATATGCCATAATTATGTGGGATATAAGTTAATTCTGAAGTTATATGCCTTAATTTTGTGGGATTAAACTGTATTCTGAAGGTATAGGCCTTTATTATATAGGATGTAAGTTAATTCTGATGGCATATGCCTTAATTCCATAGGTCTACGTTTATTCTGAAGGCATATGCCTTAATTCCATGGCATCTAAGTGAACTCTGAAGGCTAATGCCTTAAGTCCATAGAATCTAAGTTAATTCTGAAGGTATATGCCTTAATTATGTAAGGTTTAAGTTAATTCTGAAGGTATATGCCTTAATTATGTAGGATCTAAGTTAATTCTGAAGTCATAAGCCTCAATTATGCACGATCTAAGTTAATTCTGAAGGCATATGCCTTAATTATGTAGGATCTAAGTTAATTCTGAAGTCATATGCCTCATTTTCATAGCATCTAAGTTAATTCTGAAGTCATATGCCTTCTTTTCATAGCATCTAAGTTAAATGTGAAGGCATATGGCTTAATCCATAGGATGTTATTTAAATCTGAAGGCGTTTAATTCCATAGGATCGGAGTTAATTCTGATGGCGTATGCCTTAATTATATAGGTTCTATGGTTATTCTGAAGGTATAAACCACTAATTGCATAGGATCTAAGTTAATTCTGAAGGTATAGGCCTTTAATTCCATAGGCTCTGATTTAATTCTGAAGTTATATGACTTTAATTCCATATTATCTAAGTTAATTCTGAATCTATATGGCTTTAATTACATAGGATCTCAGTTAATTCTGAAGGCTTCTGCCTTAGTTCCATAGCATCTAAGTTAATTGTGAAGGCATATGCCTTAATTATGTAGAATCCAAGTTAATTCTGAAGGCATATGCCTTAATTATATAGGACTTAATTTAATTCTGAAGGCATATTCCTTAATTCCATTGGATCTAACTTAATTCTGAAGGCATATGCTTTAATTATGCAGGGTCTAAGTTAATTCTGATGGCATATCCCTTAATTCCATGGGATCTAAGTTAATTCTCAAGGCATATGCCTTAATTACGTAAGTTGTACGTTAAGTCTGAAGGCATTTGCATTACTTCCGTAGGATCTGAGTTAATTCTGAAGACATATGCGTTAATTACTTCGAATCCAACTTAATTCTGAAGGCATATGCCTTAATTATGTAGGGTTTAAGTTAGTTCTGATGGCATATGCCTTTAAATCCTTAGGATCTCAGTTAATTCTGCAGGCATATGCCTCAATTCCAATGCATCTAAGTTCATTCTGAAGGTATCCGCCTTAATTATATAGGTTCTATGTTAATTCTGAAGAATGTGCCTTAATTCCATAGCATCTAAGTTAATTGTCAAAGGTTGGGTCTAAGTTAATTCTGATGGCATATGCCTTAATTCCATAGCATCTCAGTTAATTCTGAAGGTGTATGCCTTAATTATGTAGAATCGAAGTTAATTCTGAAGGCATATGCCTTATTTTCATAACATCTAAGTTAATTGTGAAGGCATATGCGTTTAATGCCATAGAATCTGAGTTAATTCTGAAGGCATATGCCTGAATTATATAGTATCTAAGTTAATTCTGAAGTTATATGCCTTAATTCCATGGATTTAAACATTATTCTGAAGGCATATGCCTTAATTATGTAGGGTCTCAGTTAATTCTGATGGCATTACCCTTAATTCCATGGGATCTCAGTTAATTCTCAAGGCATATGCCTTAATTACGTAAGTTGTAAGTTAATTCTGAAGGCATTTCCCTAAATTTAATAGGATCTCAGTTAATTCTGAAGGCATAGGCCTTAATTATGTAGAAACCAAGTTAATTCTGAAGGCATAAGCCTTAATTCCATAGCATCTAAGTTAATTGTGAAGGCATATGGCTTAATCCGTAGGATGTAATTTAAATCTGAAGGTATATGCCTTAGTTCCATAGCATCTAATTTAATTCTGATGCTGTATGACATTAATTGCATAAATCGAAGTTTAATTCTGATGGCATATGCCTTTAGTTGCATAGAATCTTAGTTAGTTCTGAATGCATAAGCCTTAATTATGTAGGGTCTAAGTTACTTCTGAAGGAATATGCCTTAATTACATCGGGTCTGAGTTAATTCTGTAGACATATGCCTTAAGTATTTAGTGTCTAACTTAATTCTCAAGGCATATTCCTTAATTCCATAGGATCTATGTTAATTCTGAAGGCGTATGCCTTAATTCCATGGAACTAAACTTTATTCTGAAGGTATAGGCCTTAATTATGTGGGGTTAAGTTAATTCTGAAGGCATATTCCTTAATTTCATGGAATCTAAGTTAATTCTGTAGGCATATGCCATAATTATGTGGGATATAAGTTAATTCTGAAGTTATATGCCTTAATTTTGTGGGATTAAACTGTATTCTGAAGGTATAGGCCTTTATTATATAGGATGTAAGTTAATTCTGATGGCATATGCCTTAATTCCATAGGTCTACGTTTATTCTGAAGGCATATGCCTTAATTCCATGGCATCTAAGTGAACTCTGAAGGCTAATGCCTTAAGTCCATAGAATCTAAGTTAATTCTGAAGGTATATGCCTTAATTATGTAAGGTTTAAGTTAATTCTGAAGGTATATGCCTTAATTATGTAGGATCTAAGTTAATTCTGAAGTCATAAGCCTCAATTATGCACGATCTAAGTTAATTCTGAAGTCATATGCCTTCTTTTCATAGCATCTAAGTTAAATGTGAAGGCATATGGCTTAATCCATAGGATGTTATTTAAATCTGAAGGCGTTTAATTCCATAGGATCGGAGTTAATTCTGATGGCGTATGCCTTAATTATATAGGTTCTATGGTTATTCTGAAGGTATAAACCACTAATTGCATAGGATCTAAGTTAATTCTGAAGGTATAGGCCTTTAATTCCATAGGCTCTGATTTAATTCTGAAGTTATATGACTTTAATTCCATATTATCTAAGTTAATTCTGAATCTATATGGCTTTAATTACATAGGATCTCAGTTAATTCTGAAGGCTTCTGCCTTAGTTCCATAGCATCTAAGTTAATTGTGAAGGCATATGCCTTAATTATGTAGAATCCAAGTTAATTCTGAAGGCATATGCCTTAATTATATAGGACTTAATTTAATTCTGAAGGCATATTCCTTAATTCCATTGGATCTAACTTAATTCTGAAGGCATATGCTTTAATTATGCAGGGTCTAAGTTAATTCTGATGGCATATCCCTTAATTCCATGGGATCTAAGTTAATTCTCAAGGCATATGCCTTAATTACGTAAGTTGTACGTTAAGTCTGAAGGCATTTGCATTACTTCCGTAGGATCTGAGTTAATTCTGAAGACATATGCGTTAATTACTTCGAATCCAACTTAATTCTGAAGGCATATGCCTTAATTATGTAGGGTTTAAGTTAGTTCTGATGGCATATGCCTTTAAATCCTTAGGATCTCAGTTAATTCTGCAGGCATATGCCTCAATTCCAATGCATCTAAGTTCATTCTGAAGGTATCCGCCTTAATTATATAGGTTCTATGTTAATTCTGAAGAATGTGCCTTAATTCCATAGCATCTAAGTTAATTGTCAAAGGTTGGGTCTAAGTTAATTCTGATGGCATATGCCTTAATTCCATGGATTTAAACTTTATACTGAAGGCATATGCCTTAATTATGTAGGGTCTAAGTTAATTCTGATGGCATATACCTTAATTCCATAGGATCTCAGTTAATTCTGAAGTTATATGCTTTCATTATGTAGAATTCTGAAGGCATATGCCTTAAATCCATAGCATCTAAGTTAATTGTGAAGGCATATGGCTTAATCCGTAGGATGTAATTTAAATCTGAAGGTATATGCCTTAGTTCCATAGCATCTAATTTAATTCTGATGCTGTATGACATTAATTGCATAAATCGAAGTTTAATTCTGATGGCATATGCCTTTAGTTGCATAGAATCTTAGTTAGTTCTGAATGCATAAGCCTTAATTATGTAGGGTCTAAGTTACTTCTGAAGGAATATGCCTTAATTACATCGGGTCTGAGTTAATTCTGTAGACATATGCCTTAAGTATTTAGTGTCTAACTTAATTCTCAAGGCATATTCCTTAATTCCATAGGATCTATGTTAATTCTGAAGGCGTATGCCTTAATTCCATGGAACTAAACTTTATTCTGAAGGTATAGGCCTTAATTATGTGGGGTTAAGTTAATTCTGAAGGCATATTCCTTAATTTCATGGAATCTAAGTTAATTCTGTAGGCATATGCCATAATTATGTGGGATATAAGTTAATTCTGAAGTTATATGCCTTAATTTTGTGGGATTAAACTGTATTCTGAAGGTATAGGCCTTTATTATATAGGATGTAAGTTAATTCTGATGGCATATGCCTTAATTCCATAGGTCTACGTTTATTCTGAAGGCATATGCCTTAATTCCATGGCATCTAAGTGAACTCTGAAGGCTAATGCCTTAAGTCCATAGAATCTAAGTTAATTCTGAAGGTATATGCCTTAATTATGTAAGGTTTAAGTTAATTCTGAAGGTATATGCCTTAATTATGTAGGATCTAAGTTAATTCTGAAGGTATATGCCTTTAATTCCATAGGCTCTGATTTAATTCTGAAGTTATATGACTTTAATTCCATATTATCTAAGTTAATTCTGAATCTATATGGCTTTAATTACATAGGATCTCAGTTAATTCTGAAGGCTTATGCCTTAGTTCCATAGCATCTAAGTTAATTGTGAAGGCATATGCCTTAATTATGTAGAATCCAAGTTAATTCTGAAGGCATATGCCTTAATTATATAGGACTTAATTTAATTCTGAAGGCATATTCCTTAATTCCATTGGATCTAACTTAATTCTGAAGGCATATGCTTTAATTATGCAGGGTCTAAGTTAATTCTGATGGCATATCCCTTAATTCCATGGGATCTCAGTTAATTCTCAAGGCATATGCCTTAATACGTAAGTTGTACGTTAAGTCTGAAGGCATTTGCATTACTTCCATAGGATCTGAGTTAATTCTGAACACATATGCGTTAATTACTTTGAATCCAACTTAATTCTGAAGGCATATGCCTTAATTATGTAGAATCTAAATTAAGTCTGATGGCATAAGCCTTATTTTCATAGCATCTAAGTTAATTCTGATGGCATATGCCTGTAATTCCATAGGATCTTAGTTAATTCTGAAGGTTTAGGCCTTAATTATGTAGAATCTAATTTAATTCTGAAGGCATATGTCTTAATTATGTAGAGTCTAAGTTAATTCTGAAGGAATATGCCTTTATTATATAGGTTCTATATTAATTCTGATGGTATATGCCTTATATGCATAGCATCTAAGTTAATTCTGAAGGTATATGCCTTAATTATATAGGTTCTATATTAATTCTGATGATATATGCCATATAATTCCATAGGTTCTAAGTTAATTCTGAAGGAATATGCCTTTATTTCAAAAGGATCTAATTTAATTCTGAAGGCATATGCCTTGATTCCATTTTATCTAAGTTAAATCTAAAGGCATATGCCTTAATTATTTGGCGTCTAAGTTTATTCTGCATGCATATGCCTTAATTCCATAGCGTCGAAGTTAATTCTGAAGGCATATGCCTTAATTCCATGGGATATAAGTTGATCAGATAACCAGCATGCTCAGCTAGCTACATTTTCCAGCCAGCCATCTTAAAGAACAAGAGAAGAGCCGTGTTTGAGAAGAAGAGCAGAGCTGTAGGAGGATTGGGAGATTCTCCACCGACAGATACAAAGCTTAGCCAGCCACCTGTGATGCTGCACACGGGAAGAGCTGTAGAAGAATTTGGTGCTGGCACCCCAAGGAAGGCAAATCCTATCCGCCCAGCCGTGTCCCTGTATAAGGAAGAAGCTGTAGGAGGATCTCAATCTCCTGACCAGACAGACACAAATCCTAGCCAGCCACCCATGATGCTGCACGAGGCTGGAGCAGTAGGAGGATCGGGACATTCTACTCCGACAAATACAAGCCTCAGCCAGCCGTCTGTGCTCCAGAACACGACAGGAAGTGGAGCCGGATGGGGGGGCACTACTGCAACAAAGACAGACCTCAGCCAGGTACCCGTGATCCAGCACACGGAAGGAGCTGAGAAAGGATTGGGTGATGCTACCCTGACAGACACAGATCTTAACCAGGCAGCCGTGATCCAGCACACCGGAGGCGATGGAGGACGTGTTGTTCGTGCCCGGAGAAACACAAACCTTCTCCAGCCAGCCACGCTGCAGCACGAAGGAGGATCTGCAGGAGGACGGGGCGCTCCTGCAGCCGTTGTGCAGCCTCCTGCGCTCCCAAAGAGCTCCTCGGGTGGCAGCCGCGATGCAGCAGGACTCTCTGGTGCCTGCGGTGTTGGAGCTGCAGGCAAGAAAGGCGCAGCGTCCTTGCAGAAAGCGAGCTCTGCATTAAGCGGTGCAAACCCGGCTGGTGACTACAGAGATGAACGGCAGAGACTTGTGTAAGTGACGGCCCTGTCCCCTGGGAAGCGCTCGCAACGAGCTGCTGAAGTGCTTCCTGGCTTCCTCTGGATAATGGAGAGGATGCGTTCCGGGGGATGGAAGGTGGGACGTGGGGGGGGGACCATAGGAAGCACGGGGGTTTTGTTTCTCTTCCAGACCTGATGTGATTTACTCACGATAAAACGCTTTGTCGGACATCTGTGTGTCCAGCAGAGCGACTGCTGTGTCTTTCAAGATAGCTGTAGCATTCCTCAGCTGTTCCCTCTGAGCAGCGTCCTATGGAATTCATTGGCGCGGCTTTGGCTATTTGAGTTTGACTTTGCTTTTTGCCCTGTGGCTTCTGACTGTGTAATTTCTTCCTTTGCTGTCATGTTGTGTTTTCTAGGGACTGGGTAGCAGAAGACATGGCGACCTGGGAATCTTCTGGACAGTGGATGTTTTCATGTTACTGTCCTGAGAAGGGCAAGCCTAATGTTTCAGGTCAGTCCCGTTTTTAGGAGTGCTGCTACTGTTCAGGCTGCATTTCCATCCTTGTCCACACTGCTGTGCCTCAATGGAAGCACTGCAAGGTGAGGACGTGCCTTGCGATGCAAGAGGTAGGGGCACTGGGTTACGGTATTTCCTTGGTGTGTGTGCACCCCTGAAGTTGCACCAGGAGTCCTTTCTGTGTCTCCAAGTCGAGCTGACTGGTGGCAGGCGGTGCAGCAAGGGCAGTTTCTTGTGTAACTCTAGAGGGCAATTTTGTGTTTGTGTTGCATTCCCTTTGGAGCATGCTGATTGTTTGCCTCCCTGCAGACTTTCCAGAGATCTCCTTTGAGGAGCTGCACCTGGGGTATTACATCTGCAGAGCCAAGAAGGGCACAGGACTCTACGTAAGTATTTGGAACAACTGAGCTTTCTGTGACGCGTTCAGGGTAGCAGTGGTTCCTGTGCTTCAGGTGGCCGCTCTTGACTCAGCGAATGCCCAACTCGAGGGGAACGTAAGAACGCCCTCATACCTTCACTGTTCTGTGCAGCGAGTAGAAAACAGCAGGAGCTGCTGGCCTGAAGGCTTTGCCATCACTGAGCAAGCTGGTGTGGCCATAGGTGTCCCTGTTCACTGCAGGGGAGTTGGGTCGGATGGCTTTAAAGGTCCCTCCTGACTCAAACAGGTCTATGATTCTCCTTGCCTCTTCCTGATAACTGAGGCGCAGGCCTCACCAATGATGCAGGTACAAAACGTATTATCCAAAGCAGGAGTATCTGCTCGTAAAGTGGGGCAAGACCTGAATTGTCCAGTCCAAAATTTCCTTGCAGTTGCTCAGACCACTCTTGTTCCCCCTTTTAAAGAAAAAGGGGAAAGAAGGAGAAAGAAGGGGAAGGAAAGAGGGGAAAGAAAGAAGGGGAAGGAAAGAAGGGGAAAGAAAGAAGAGGAAAGAAAGAAGGGGAAAGAAAGAAGGGGAAAGGAAGAAGGGGAAAGGGGAAAGACCCAAATAAGAACGAACCAAAAGCCATGCTTAACAAAAGCATGTTTGTGTCCTCCCACGTTTAGATAAACGCTGTCCATCAGTATGTGCAGCAATGGAGAACCAGGCTGCAGGAGCTGAAGGTTTTAAACGCCTGGAGAACAGCATCGATGGTAAGCGTTAAGGAAAGGTGAAATACTTCTGTTCCTGATGTTGCTTTTCTCTTCAATCTCGTGTGAAGGTTTTTCTTAGGATTCCCATTTAGGCAGAGCTCAGGGTTCAGACTTCAGCACAGATGATTGTTCCGTGCTCAGAGAGCAGACTGAGCCAAAGCAGCGACACAGATAGAGCCATGGAACAAAGGAGAACAAGGCAGAGGAGAATGAGAGCTCCAGGGGTTGGGTGATGGCAATTCCTTCTTGCCCGTCAGGTTCCTGCTTCTAGGCTGTCTGCAGACAGCAGCCTGAGAGCGTTTTGTTTAAAGCTGCCATTGCTTCGGTTCAGTTTCTCAGTTCCGTTCAGTTGGTCGGCACACGTGGGTTTTTGCTTTAAGCGTGGATTGAAAGATGCCTGCCTGTGCAGGAATGTAGTTTTCATGGATGTATTTGGAACTTTTTCAGCTCCTTTGGAGAGAGAAAGCGGACACTGAACCATTACTGTTTCTTGTACTGGGAGGACAGCAAGCCCCAAGCCCTGGGTTCCCAAGTAAGTTTCTGCATCAGGAACCAGCGATTAAACCGGCGTTGATAAGCGTTCTTCTGCAGCACTGAAACGCAGCAGTGTTTCGGTATGGCAGGTGCAGGCATCCTGAGCCTTCCCATCCATTTCCTCCCTGCAGGCTCTCCAGCCAACAGCCGCAGTCCTTCAGTTCCATCGGCAGCCTCACTTCACGCTCCTGGAGCGGCCGCTGGCCGTGGACTGTGGGGCTTCCGGGCGCTGGGAGCTCGGCTGCTGCAAACCCTGCCCGCACCGCTGCGCTTGCTGTCGCTGCTCCCAAGGCAGCTGCAGAGACTTCTCAGCCGGGAGCAAGCAGCGCTTCGGCCGCACCGACAGCCGGTGCCTCTGGACACAGCGCCGCGTCCGCGCCTCTGCATCCCCACGGCATCAGAGCAGGCAGCTCTGCGCACCGAGGAGGGAACTGAGGGCCGGAGAGCTGGAGCAGCTAAGGGCCAAGAAGATCAGGCAAGGAAAGATCCCTGAGGCCATGACCAGCGGACCTTTCTACGACAAGGACTGGAGTTAATTCTGAACTTATGAGCCTTAATTCCATAGCATCTAAGTCTATTTAGAAGCTCTGTGCCATAATTCCATAGGATCTAAGTCAATTCTGAAGTTCTGTGCATATTCTGTGAAGGAATATGCCTTAATTATGTAAGGTTTAAGTTAATTGTGAAGGAATATGCCTTAATTATATAAGGTCTAAGTTAATTCTTAAGGTATATGAATTTAATTACAAAGGATGCTTTAATTATGCAGGGTCTAAGTTAATTCTGAAGGTATCTGCCTTAATTAGGTAGGTTCTATGTTAATTCTGAACTATATGCCTTAATTCCATAGCATTTAAGCTAATTGTGAAGGCATATGCCTTAATTCCATAGGTCTAAATTAATTGTGAAGGCATATGCCTTTAATTCTATAGGATCTGAGTAAATTCTGAATGCATATACCTTAATTCCATAGGTTGTAAGTTAATTCTGAAGGCATATCTCTTAAATATGCAGGGTCTAAGTTAACTCTGAAGGCATATGTCTTAATTCCATGGCATCTACTTTAATCTGAAGGTATATGCCTTAATTATATATGTTCTATGTTAATTCTGAATGTATATGCCTGAGTTCCATAGGATCTCAGTTAATTCTGAAGATATATGCTTTAATTAAGTAGAATTCTGAAGGCATATGCCTTAATTCCATAGCATCTAAGTTAATTGTGGAGCCATGTGGCTTAATCCATGCGATGTAATTTAAATCTGAAGGTATATGCCTTAGTTCCATAGCATCTAATTTAATTCTGATGCTATATGACATTAATTGCATAAATTGAAGTTAATTCTGATGGCATATGCCTTTAGTTGCAAGAAATCTTAGTTAGTTCTGAATGCATATGCCTTAATTATGCAGGGCTTAAGTTAATTCTGAAGGAATATGCCTTAATTACATCGGGTCTGAGTTAATTCTGTAGACATACGCCTTAAGTATTTAGTGTCTAACTTAATTCTCAAGGCATATTCCTTAATTCCATAGGATCTATGTTAATTCTGAAGGCGTATGCCTTAATTCCATGGAACTAAACTTTATTCTGAAGGTATAGGCCTTAATTATGTAGGGTCTAAGTTAATTCTGAAGGCATATGCCTTAATTATGTTGGGTTTAAGTTAATTCTGAAGTTATATTCCTTAATTTCATGGAATCTAAGTTAATTCTGTAGGCATATGCCATAATTATGTGGGATATAAGTTAATTCTGAAGTTATATGCCTTAATTTTGTGGGATTAAGCTGTATTCTGAAGGTATAGCCCTTTATTATATAGGATATAAGCTAATTCTGATGGCATAAGCCTTAATTCCATAGGTCTACGTTTATTCTTAAGGCATATGCCTTAATTATATGGGACTTAATTTAATTATGAAGGCATATTCCTTAATTCCATTGGATCTAACTTAATTCTGAAGGCATATGCTTTAATTATGCAGGGTCTAAGTTAATTCTGATGGCATATCCCTTAATTCCATGGGATCTAAGTTAATTCTCAAGGCATATGCCTTAATTACGTAAGTTGTACGTTAAGTCTGAAGGCATTTGCATTAATTCCGTAGGATCTGAGTTAATTCCGAAGACATATGCATTAATTACTTCGAATCCAACTTAATTCTGAAGGCATATGCCTTAATTATGTAGGGTTTAAGTTAGTTCTGATGGCATATGCCTTTAAATCCTTAGGATCTCAGTTAATTCTGCAGGCATATGCCTCAATTCCAATGCATCTAAGTTCATTCTGGAGGTATCCGCCTTAATTATATAGGTTCTATGTTAATTCTGAAGAATGTGCCTTAATTCCATAGCATCTAAGTTAATTGTCAAAGGTTGGGTCTAAGTTAATTCTGATGGCATATGCCTTAATTCCATAGCATCTCAGTTAATTCTGAAGGTGTATGCCTTAATTATGTAGAATCGAAGTTAATTCTGAAGGCATATGCCTTATTTTCATAACATCTAAGTTAATTGTGAAGGCATATGCGTTTAATTCCATAGGATCTGAGTTAATTCTGAAGGCATATGCCTGAATTATATAGTATCTAAGTTAATTCTGAAGTTATATGCCTTAATTCCATGGAACTAAACTTTATTCTGAAAGTATAGGCCTTAATTATGTAGGGTCTAAGTTAATTCTGAAGGTATATGCCTTAATTATGTTGGGTTTAAGTTAATTCTGAAGTTATATTCCTTAATTTCATGGAATCTAAGTTAATTCTGTAGGCATATGCCATAATTATGTGGGATATAAGTTAATTCTGAAGTTATATGCCTTAATTTTGTGGGATTAAGCTGTATTCTGAAGGTATAGGCCTTTATTATATAGGATATAAGCTAATTCTGATGGCATAAGCCTTAATTCCATAGGTCTACGTTTATTCTTAAGGCATATGCCTTAATTATATGGGACTTAATTTAATTATGAAGGCATATTCCTTAATTCCATTGGATCTAACTTAATTCTGAAGGGATATGCTTTAATTATGCATGGTCTAAGTTAATTCTGATGGCATATGCCTTTAAATCCTTAGGATATCAGTTAATTCTGCAGGCATATGCCTCAATTCCATTGCATCTAAGTTCATTCTGAAGGTATCCGCCTTAATTATATAGGTTCTATGTTAATTCTGAAGAATGTGCCTTAATTCCATAGCATCTAAGTTAATTGTCAAAGGTTGGGTCTAAGTTAATTCTGATGGCATAGGCCTTAATTCCATAGCATCTCAGTTAATTCTGAAGGTGTATGCCTTAATTATGTAGAATCGAAGTTAATTCTGAAGGCATATGCCTTATTTTCATAACATCTAAGTTAATTGTGAAGGCATATGCGTTTAATTCCATAGGATCTGAGTTAATTCTGAAGGCATATGCCTGAATTATATAGTATCTAAGTTAATTCTGAAGTTATATGCCTTAATTCCATGGATTTAAACATTATTCTGAAGGCATATGCCTTAATTATGTAGGGTCTCAGTTAATTCTGATGGCATTACCCTTAATTCCATGGGATCACAGTTAATTCTCAAGGCATATGCCTTAATTACGTAAGTTGTAAGTTAATTCTGAAGGCATTTCCCTAAATTTAATAGGATCTCAGTTAATTCTGAAGGCATAGGCCTTAATTCCATCTCATATAAATTAACTCTGAAGACATATGCCTTAAGTATGCAGGGTCTAAGTTAACTATGAAGGCATATGCCTTAATTCCATAGCATCTAATTTAATTGTGAAGGCATATGCCTTAATTCCATAGCTCTAAGTTAATTCTGATGGCATATGCCTTAATTCCATGGATTTAAACTTTATACTGAAGGCATATGCCTTAATTATGTAGGGTCTAAGTTAATTCTGAAGGCATATACCTTAATTCCATAGGATCTCAGTTAATTCTGAAGATATATGCTTTAATTATCTAGAATTCTGAAGACATATGCCTTAATTCCATAGCATCTAAGTTAATTGTGGAGGCATATGGCTTAATCCATAGGATGTAATTTAAATCTGAAGGTATATGCCTTTGTTCCATAGGGTCTAATTTAATTCTGATGCTATATGACATTAATTGCATAAATCGAAGTTAATTCTGATGGCATATGCCTTTAGTTGCATAGAATCTTAGTTAGTTCTGAATGCATATGCCTTAATTATGTAGAGTCTAAGTTAATTCTAAAGGAATATGCCTTAATTATGTAGGATCTAAGTTAATTCTGAAGGCATATGCTTTAATTTCATGTTATCTAAGTTAATACTGTAGGCATATGCCTTAATTATGTGGGGTTTAAGTTAATTCTGAAGTTATGTGCCTTAATTCCATGGGTTTAAATTGTATTCTGAAGGTATTGGCCTTTATTACATAGGATATAAGTTAATTCTGAAGGCATAAGTCTTTAATTGCATAAGATCAAAGTCATTTCTGACTGCATATGCCTTAATTCCATAGCATCTCAGTTAATTCTGGAGGCATATGCCTGAATTTTATAGTATCTAAGTTAATTCTGAAGGTATATACCTTAATTCCATGGATTTAAACTTTATTCTGAAGGCATATGCCTTAATTATGTAGGGTCTAAGTTAATTCTGAAGGCATTTGCCTTAATTATGTAGGGTCTAAGTTAATTATGAAGTCATATGCCATTAATTGCTTAGGGTCTAAGATAATTGTGAAAGCATATGCCTTAATTCCGTAGCATCTAAGTTAATTCTGAAGGCATATTCCTTAATTATTTAGTGTCTAAGTTAATTCTGAAGGCCTATGCCTTTATTCCAAGCGTCTAAATTAATTCTGAAGGCATATGTCTTAATTATGTAAGGTCTAAGTTAATTATGAAGTTATATGACTTTAATTACATAGGATCTAAGTTAATATTGAAGGCACATGCCTTTATTCCATAGATTGTAAGTTAATTCGGAAGACATATGCCTTAATTATGTTGGGTTTAAGTTAATTTTGAGGGCATATGCCTTTATTATGTGGCAAGTAAGTTAATTCTGAAGGCATATGCCTTTATTATATGGAATCTAAGCTAATTCTGAAGTCATATGCCAGTAATTGCATAGCATCTAAGTTAATTGTGAAGGCATATGCCTTTAATTCCATAGGATCTGAGTTAATTCTGAAGACATATGCCTGTATTATATGGTTTCTAAATTAATTGTGAAGGTACATGCCTTAATTCCATGGGATTAAACTTTATTCTGAAGGTATAGGCCTTAATTATGTAGGGTTTAAGTTAATTCCTATGGCATATCCCTTACTTCCATAGGTCTATGTTAATTGTGTAATCATATGCCTTAATTACGTAAGTTGTGAGTTCAGTCTGAAGGCATTTGCATTAATTCCATAGGATCTGAGCTAATTCTGAAGGATTATGCCTTAATTCCATAGCATCAAATTTAATTCTGAATGCATATGCATTAATTATGACGAATCCCACTTAATTCGGAAGGCATATGCCATAATTATGTAGGGTCTCAATCTATTCTGAAGGCATATGCCTTAATTCCACTGCATCTAAGTTAATTCTCAAGGTATCTGCTATAATTATATAGGTTCTATGTTAATTCTGAAGTATATGCCTTAATTGTATAGCATCTAAGTTATTTGTGAAGGCATATACCTTAATTATTTAGGGTCTAAGTTAATTCTGATGGCATATTCCTTAATTATGTAGGGTTTAAGTTAATTCTGAAGGTATATGCCTTAATTCCATGGGATTAAACTTTATTCTGAAGGTATAAGGCTTAATTATATAGGATCTAAGTTAATTCTTAAGGCATATGCCTTAATTACGTAAGTTGTAAGTTAAGTCTGAAGGCATTTGCATTAATTTCATAGGATCTCAGTTAATTCTGATGGCATATGCCTTAATTCCATAGCATCTCAGTTAATTCTGAAGGTGTATGCCTTAATTATGTAGAATCTAAACTAACTCTGAAGGCATATCCCTTAATTCCATACCTCTTAATTAATTGTGAAGGCATATGCCTTTAATTCTATAGGATCTAAGTTAATTCTGAAGGCATACGTCTTAATTTTCTGGGGCTAAATTATTTCTGAAGGCATATACCTTAATTATGTGGGGTCTGAGTTAACTCTGAAGGCGTATGCCTTAATTCCATGGAATTAAAGTTTATTCTGAAAGTATACGCCTTAATTATTTAGGGTCTAAGTTAATTGTGAAGGCATATGCCTTAATTATGTGCGATTTAAGTTCATTCTGAAGTTATATGCCTTAATTTTGTGGGATTAAACTGTATTCTGAAGGTATAGGCCTTTATTATATAGGATGTAAGTTAATTCTGATGGCATATGCCTAAATTCCATATGTCTACGTTTATTCTGAAGGCATATGCCTTTAATTCCATAGGATCTGAGTTAATTCTGAAGGCATATGCCATGAATTCCAGAGGATCTAAGTTAATTCTGAAGGTATATGCCTGAATTCCATGGATTTAAACCTTTTTCTGAAGGCGTATGCCTTAATTAAGTAGGGTCTAAGTCAATTCTCGTGGCATATGCCTTAATTCCATAGATCTAAGTTAATTGTGAAGGCATATGCCTTCAATTCTATACTATCTGAGTTAATTCTGAAGGCATATACCTTAATTCCATAGCATCTAAGTTAATTCTGAAGGTATACGCGTTAATTATGTAGGGTCTATGTTAATTCTGATGGCATATTCCTTAATTCCATAGGTCTAAGTTAATTGTGAATGTATATGCCTTTAATTCTATAGGATCTCAGTTAATTCTGAAGGCGTATGCCTTAATTATGTAGAATCTAAGTTAATCTGAAGGCATATGCCTTATTTTCATAGCATTTAAGTTAATTGTGATGGCATATGCCTTTAATTCCAGAGGATCTGAGTTAATTCTGAAGGTATAGGCCTTAATTATGTAGAATCGAATTTAATTCTGAAGGCATATGCCTTGATTATATAGGGTCTAAGTAAATTCTGAAGGCATATGCCTTAATTCCATAGCATCTATGATAGTTGTTATGGCCTATGCCTTAATTATGTAGAGTCTGATTTAATTCTGAAAGAATATGCCTTAATTACGTAGGGTATGAGTTAATTCTGAAGGCATATGCCTTAATTTTGTGGGCCTAAGTTATTTCTGAAGGCATATTCCTTAATTCCATAGCATCTAAGTTAATTCTGAAGGCATATGCCTTAATTATGTAGGGTCTAAGTTAATTCTGATGGCATATGCCTTAATTCCATGGGATCTCAGTTAATTCTGAAGGTATCTGCCTTAATTATGTAGAATCTAAGCTAATTCTGAAGGCATATGCCTTGAATTCCATAGAATCTAAGGTAATTCTGAAGATATATGCCTTTAATTCCGTAGGATCTAAGGTAATTGTGAAGTTCTGTGCCTTAATTTTATTGGGTTGAAGTTAATTCTGAATTTGTATGCCTTAATGGAATAGAAATAAATATGTTATATTATTTATTTTCACGTTTTTATGAAATAGAAATTAATATGTGATTCATTTACATATGTCTTAATTAAATAGAAATAAATATGTTATTTACCCATGTCTTTCTTAAATATAAATGAATATATGTTGTTGTATTATTTACATGGTCTGTCAATAAAAGTTGTTCTGTGACTCTTGTGCTGTGATGCAGCAGTGAGTTGGAATGCTTCTCTGTGACTTACCTTCTCTTTTAATCCCTTCACTCCTCTGTGTAATCAGTGACGATCCAGGCGCTGTGATTAAGAAACACACAAAGAGTTTGGCAGAGCAGGTTGTGACAGCACAAAGAAGAGATGAAGGCCTCACCCTTATCCTGGCTCCCTGGAAAGCTCCACAGGAGGGATCCCCAAAAGAGGCTCTTCCCCGCTGGCAGCCAGCTCTCAAATGGGGTCCAGGAGAGGCGCCGCCAGGCTCCGTCCCTCCCAGCAGCACAGCGCATTGCCTTCGCTGTGCTCCCAGGGCTGATCAGCGCTCGACCAGAGGCTCAGGCTGTGGCACAGCAGCTCCCTTCAGTCCTCACAGTCAGATGCCTCGTGCTACCAGCATTTCCACTGCACCTCTCTAGGCTCATAGATCTTGAGCGCTGGCCAACAGGTGGCTTCTGCCAAATGCTTCTCCCACTGCTCTCATGTTCCTCCCCCCATTGCCTTCAACATTGTTTTCAACAACCCGCTGCAGTTGGATTTTACCAGCAGCTGGTGCATGCAAGGGAATATGAGATCAGTTCACTTGATGCCAAGATCTTTGGCCCAACAATTTGCAAGGGAACTTTCAAAATGTGTCCCCCCATCCGACTCAATTCTTTCACTGCAGAGAAGACCTAAAATATTCTATCCAGCAATTGTTTTGTGTGCATCTATCTATCTATCTATCTATCTATCTATCTATCTATCTATCTATCTATCCAGTGACACAGAACCCACGAGATGCAGCAATCAGGTGGCACAGTGACACAACACTCAGGTGATGCAGCACCAAGGTGACACAGTGGCACAGCACCCAGGTGGCACAGTGGCACAGCACCCAGGAGATGCAGCACTCAAGTGGCACAGGGACAAAACACCCACATGGCGCAATACTCAGGTGACACAGTGGCACAGCTCCCAGGTGACACAGAGACACAACACCCAGGTGATGCAGCACCCAGGTGACACAGTGGCACAGCAGCGAGGTGACACAGTGACACAACACACAGGTGACGCAGCAACAAAGTGACACAGTGGCACAGCACCCAGGTGGCACAATACTCAGGTGGCACAGTGGCACAGCACCCAGGTGGCACACTGACACAGCACCCAGGTGACAAAGCACTCAGGTGACACAGTGAAACAACACCCAGGTGACACAGTGACACAGCACCCAAGTCCACAGCATCCAGTTGATGCAGCACCCAGGTGGCACAGTGACACAATATCCAGGTTGTACAGCACCCAGGAGGCACAGTGGCACAGCACCAGGTGAAGCAGCACCCAGGTGACAAACTGGAACAGCACCTAGGTGACACAGTGACACAAAACCCAGGTGGCACAGCACTCAGCTGCACACTGACACAGCACCCAGGTGACAAAGCACCCAGGTGACACAGTGACACAGCACACTGTTGACACAGCACCCAGGTGACACAGTGGCACAGCACCAAGGTGACACAGTGACACAGCACCCAAGTCCACAGCACCCAGGTGGCACAGTGACACACACTCAGATGACGCAGCACCCAGGTGGCGCAGCACCCAGGTGGCAGAATGACACAGTACCTAAGTGACGCAGCACTCAGGTGGCACAGTGACACAACACCCAGGTGATGCAGAACCCAGGTGACACAGTGGCACAACACCAAAGGTGGCACAGCACCCAGGGGCAGAGTGACACAGCACCAGGTGAAGCAGCACCCAGGTGACACAGTGGCACAGCACCCAGGTGGCACAGCACTCAGCTGGCACAGTGACACAGAACCCAGGTGGCACCCTGACACAGCACCCTGGTGACAGAGCACTCAGGTGACACAGTGAAACAACACCCAGGTGATGCAGTGACACAACACCCAGGTGGCACAGTTACACAGCACACTGTTGACGCAGCACCCAGGTGACACAGTGACACAACACCCAGGTGGCAAAGTGGCACAACACCCAGGTGACGCAGTGACACAACACCTAGGTGGTACAGTGACACAAAAGCAAGGTGACACAGAGCTCTGATGGCACAGTGACACAGCACCCAGGAGACGCAGCACTCAGGTGGCACAGTGACAAAGCATCAACATGACGCCACACTCAGGTGACACAGTGGCACAGCACCCAGGTGATGCAGAACTCAGGTGGCACAGTGATGCAGCACCCAGGTGATGCAGCACCCAGATGACACAGTGACACAACACCCACGTGACGTAGCACCTTGGTGACACAGTGACACAGCACCCAGTTGATAAAGAGCCGACCAGTTCATGGCCCTGCGATTGCCAGCCCAAGCACAAGACTTTTTGACCAGCTACGGAAAGAGGCAGCACCGTGTTTAAAAAGTTGGTTTCGTTTTTATTCAATACAAAAGGCTCTGGGTTGTATTTATCAACACAGCCCAAAATGAAACCCCAGCGTCCAGGGTTTCTGCTTAGCAATGAGTCATTCAGCCTCCAGGCAGACACGAGGAGAAGCCTGACCCTGTGGCTACGTCAGCTCCTCTCCCTCCAGGCCCGGCTAGCCGTACTTCAATCTCATACTAGACCGGCCCTGGCCCTGAAGAGACGCAGCCTGAAGGAACACAGCCTCTCCATCTCTTGCCATAGATGAAGACCTGCCTCTGGCAAGCCCTCTTTGCTTGGAATGCAGCACAAGCCCTTCCCTTCCAGGTGCCTTAGTTCTGCTGCACTGTCTGTGACAAGCGAAAGCACGGCCATGCCACAAAACCGGACGCTGACTCAGTCCGCTGCCTTTGGTGCCACCTCCGAGGAAGCATTCCACCTGATTCCAGTGCCCTGTGGGCCTTCTCGCTCAAGCCCTTCTCGGTTCTTTTTGCTCTCCTTCTGGGCTTCCTTCCTCAGCAGAGCAGCACTTGCCTTGGCTTTCTTCACTGTCTCGCCAGACCGAGTCCCAAGACTGTGCCAGTCCTACAAGAATCAAGGCACAAACGGTCAGGGAACCTTCACAGGTAACAAGTGGCTGACAGCTCGCTTGGGGAGCTCAAGTCACCGCCCGGGCAGCTGTGGCTGCCAGCACTGGAAACCGCCTTCCTGCCATCAGGGCACGCCAGAAACTCCACCTCTATCTCCTGCCCAAAAGTCCTATACGAACTTGAACCCAAAGCCATCTCCTGCAAGGCAGCGCCTGCACAGGGCTTGGACACTGCCTGGCAGCACACACAGCACAGCAGCAGCAGCAGCAGATGAGCAGCACCCCAAGGCTCCTGGCGTGCATCAGGAACACGCGCACACGGAAGGAAGGGCAGGACAAACGACGGCACGCTCAGCAGTGCCGGGCACAGCACCGTAGGCCACAGCTGCAGATTGTTCCCTCCCTGCCCATTGCCCGTGCCTTTCTATCAGCCTCAGAGAGCACGACTTACTGGCTTATGGCACCTGGAAACGGGCACGATTACAGCCAGCGCACAGAGCAGCTGCAAAGTGGCTCCACAGAAAAGACCGTGGTGCAGCACGTTCTCCGCCAGCGTGGGCTCAGGGATCTCAGCTGGGAGAAATGCTCACACAGCAGGCAGCCCGCTGCTCTCCTGCTCTCAAGGAGGCTGCTTTCTACAAGAGGGGAGAAAGAGTCGTTATTCTCTCATGCACACTGCTGTTACAGGCTGACTTAGAGCTGTTCTGAACATCTCCTTGTTCTACTGACCCAATGACAACGAAGGACACGAAACTTGCAGCTGCATTGTCTTTTACCACATGCCGAGGAAGGCGAGGGGAGCAGGAGCTGAAAAGGACAGGAGGACACAAAAGAAGGGCAAAGCTTAACAGAAAGCAGACCTGCTGCAGACAGTGCCACCAGCTGTGTTTGAACAGCAGTGCCTCAGCGCACGCTCACAGTAAGGCACACCTACCTTGCAAGGGCCGCTCAGGAAGGTTGTGACACAGGCACCCATTGCTCGATTGCTCCCCTGAGTCCCAACTCCATTTCTCAGCCACTCACATGCCTCGATGTTCTGCAACAGAAAAGTCACAAGACGGAAATTCAATTCATCGCAGACGTCCTCAAACCTCCCTTCTCAGGGCAGTCGCACTCATTTCTCTGCATGACAACTCGGGGAGGGCTTACCGAGTGAGCAGCATTTACTGCCAGTTGGCAGCGTCAACCTATGCCTAACTCTAACCTCCTAACAGTAACCTATGCCTAACTCTACACTCCTAACAGTAACCTATGCCTAACTCTAACCTCCTAACAGTAACCTATGCCTATTGCTAAAACTAAACTGAACACTAAAACTAAGCTAACACTAAAATCAACAACAAAGCCCAGAAGTGGGACCTAACTCCTAAGGAGGAAGATGGAACTGGGGGCCCGCAGAAGCGCAGAGGAGCAACAAGGTGGAGGAGGAGCAGATGGTCAGCAATGCCACCCAGCTAATGCCGGGGGCGGGGGCCGCGCAGAGGGTAAGGGGCCGAGCGCCCGGACCAGCGATGGCGGAGCTGTGAGCGCGCCAACACGGGGCCTGGCACGGTGGTGTGGTGCCAGGCCAGCTGTGCCGCAGGCGGATCCACCTCCATGGGTTCCTCTGGAGGCGGATCCACCTCCATGGGCTCCTCTGGAGGCGGATCCACCTCCATGGGCTCCCCATGGTCGCTCACAGCGCTGGCCCGGGCGCGATGGAACCGGGCTCCCTTCCTCCTCTCCCTCCTCTGCTT